TGTACCTGCAATCCCTTCTGTGCACCTTTTTGTGGTGTTCATATATTATCACATTGTTCTTGTAAACTCAACATCCCACTGCTGTAAGATATTTATGTGTCTCTGTGAGCCCTGCACCCCAGTGCTGTAAGTATCTGACAGTGTTCTGTGTCCTATCGTTTAAGACCAGCATCCCAGTGCTGCACTATACTTCTGCCATTCCTGTGAGCTCAGTGTTCATTACTTTTCCAGGTGCTCGTCTGTTCTTCCCTTTTACCTGGTCATCTGTAGCCTGCAAAGGCATGCTTTTTTTTCCATTCAGAATGTGGGCTGCATGTAGGGTCTACCATCCCAACCCTCCTGGCAATGACCATATGACCATGCAAGTAAGTGCAATTTTTTTCCCCCCTAATTCTATACCCTACATTCAAAAAATAGGTGTCTTTGCATGTGCTATTTTTTTTGAATATAGGGTATAGAATTAGGGAAAAATTGCACTTGCATATGGTCATTGTGGTTGGGCCTAAATGTAAACACTAGGATCTGCCTAAATTAACTCCATATGCCTAATGCTGGCCATAAACAGTTGGAAAATCAGCCAAATTTTGCACTGTTAGTGGGTTAATAGGTCGGCCAATTTTTTTTTTTTTATTGGTTATGTTTCAGTGGCCGATTTTGCCGGGAATGATGAGCAAATCAGCCGATTGTTTTACGATTTAAAAAATCCACGCATGAGCCGTGACCTGCAAGGGACAGAAGTTATGGGGTGAACTTTGATTTAGTCGGCCGTGTTATTTTTTTTTTTTTTCTTTCTTTTAATCGGCCGATGTTTGACTTGTCTATGGCCTGCATTAGTTTACAAAGTTCTGGGGACATGTATGGAATGGTGGGTGATATTGATGAAACTGCATCTGCAAACTTTTGAGTAGTGCGTTTTTTTTTTTTTTTTTTGCTGTATGTATTCAAAAGCCTTGGTTATCTGTAATGCACAGCATTTGACCAGTGTTGCACATATGGTAAATAATTCAACTGTGCGAAGGATGGGTCGGGTGAAACCAGAAGTGTTTTTTATTAGGAATAGCTGTAACAAACACAGAAAACTCTTGATTACATGTGACTGGATATGTTCACTGTAATCACTGTCCTGTAGGAAACAAAGTGTTAGACTTTTAGTTCCTACTTCTGTGTCTTCCTATTATCACAGGAAGTAGTTCTGCCCTCTTGTGATGGTACAATAAAAATGCAATCACTAGTATCTTCTATTGACAAAAATAGATTATTGTTATATTAGGTATTAGGCTTTGGATTTAAATTTTATGGGGCTGCCTATTTTCTACACCTCTTACACCAGCTCTTCTGGAATTAATACATAGACAAGTTTCAAACCCATTTAGTGAAATATTGCTGCAACCAATCTCTTCAGGAAAGTAAGGAAGATAGGATGTCTCCTATTTAGTTTCATCCCTATACTAGGAGTACCCTTTTGCCCAATAATGTTGTTAAATCATGTTTTTGTTGTCTGTGTCCCCTGTAGTGAGGTGGGGAAAGGGGGGTTTAATCGACCTGTCTGACTTTTGTCTTCAAACAGGTATTAGGTAATCTTCTGACTAGCAGTAGAATAACTGATTTTGTTCTTTTCAACTGGGACAGCAATAACTTGGTGTCATTTTTAGATACTATAAATGACAAAAGATAATTCTAGGATCAATAGAATCATATTTAAAAAAAAAAAAACTGAATATAGCAAGAAAATGCTGGAGTGTTAGCTAGTTTCTTGAGCTTTTATTACCCCTGGCTTGATAATTGAGTGAAGAGATCCAGTAGGTGCCAATTCCTGACTAAACATATGGTAGTCGGAGGTTTCCATAAAGCTGGTCTCATGCTGACTGGCTTCTATTTTGGTTTGCTCCTCTATCACCATTTTAGGGCACAAGGTGAATATAATAAGATTTGAGCATCTAAGGTTCTGGGTCATGTCAATACTTGAGCCCAAGAAATTTGCATAAATAGTAGAATCCCACATGCATGGATGCCTGCATGGATGGTCGGCTCCAACGTTGTAATTTTTACACCTCAGCAAGCCTCGCTCATAAATGGTATGCCCCCAAAAGTGGTCATTCAATCACTTCCCGTAGACTGGTCTCGGCAGCAAAAACACATACTGGGTGCCCGGAGCTGACCGATTATAGAAGATGTGATCCAGTGACCACTTTTGAGGCCGGGAGGTGTGAGCAGAGGAGACCTGGGTCCCTTCATCCATTCATGCAGGATTTGTCATCTTTTAGACCTCCTAGATATGTGGGGCCTTAGGATTTGTTAAGCAGTATTATCACTTGGAGGTTGGTGTGCAGCTGCTACATGAAGATTTTGCATACTTTTTGATATTTCTTTTATAGAACTTTGTTTATTACACAGTGTATTGAATTAGGTTTTCTTGACAGCACAAATATGTATACATTTACCCCCCCCCCCCCCCCCCCCCCCCCCCCCAAGATTCTACTGTTTATCTCAGAAGACTGGTTAGCCACCTACTGTTGATTTAATTGGCTACATGCCCAGCCGGACCATAATCTCCCTTTGTATTTAAGCTGGGTTCATTCCCTCATGTTTTTTTGCATGAGCAACATCTAGTATTCTTAGTACCATGTCTCCCCGTGACTTTGTATTTCCAAGAAAGTTCCTACTGTCCATGGCTTCATGTGAGGATTCCGAGTGACCCTTTTACTCCTAGTGTTCTATGTTCTGAGACTCCTAGTGACCTTGAGATCCTGTACCAAACCCCCCTTGTTCCTATTGACTGAGTGTCTCCCCTTTCAGCATAGTCTCTGTACCCTCAGTAGAATCTTCTAGCCTACCCCCCCAGTGACTGTGTTTTCACTTGTTACCTGTATCACCCTGTGCATTATAGTGTCCTTCTACCTGTGTGTACCTTTTTTGTAAGCTTATAGCCTTCCTGGTGCATCTCTATGATCCCCTGTGAGTTTCAGCCTGTAAATTGTTAGCATCACCTGTGACTGTAGTCTGCTTCACGGTCTCCTTGTATATTACTAGTCCCATGCTCCATGTCCCATGTGTTTTTCTAGAAGCTCCTAGTGATCCATGTGTCTTTGCATTGCTACTTATTCCTAATTGTACGGTCTCTGTGTACCTGTTCTCAGTGTTTTTTTTTTTTTTTTTTTTTATTTCTCTGCCAACTAGCACTGTTCTTCCTGCTGTCATGTGATCCCTGCACCTCAGTGCTGCAGGAGATTTTATCAGCCCTTAGTTTCCAGTAGTTGCCTGCTCAAGTGAGTCAGAGAACCACAGCCTGGGAATCTTCTGCAGCTCAACCCATTTCCACCTTCAGGAGCTCTGGAGAAGACAAGGCGGTTCCTTAGACTCTGCACCTCGGCCCTTCCAAGGTCCCTCACCTTGTATGTATGGGCAGGTTGGGTACTCCCCTGTCAGTACCAATAGGCATCTTTAATGTCCTAGAATCCTTGTGTAACCCAGCTGTATCTGGTGTACCTGCATTCCCTGGGACCCCTGTGCACATTAGTGTTCCTTTTACATATCCTTGTTCCTGCAAGCTCAGCATACCACTGCTATAAGATATTCCTGTTACCCAGTGCTGTAAATGTCTATAGTATTCTGTGCCCTACCTGTTTGTAAGACCAGTACCCCAATGCTTCAATATACTCCTGCCATTCTTAGGCATCCAGGATTCACTGCTTTCCCAGATCCTCGTCTGATTCCCTATACCAGGTCAACGGTAGCTTGCAAGGGTGTGCTCTCCTAGCTCACTGCCTGTGTCTGCCTGTGTGCTGCACGGAGGGTCTGCCATCCCAACCACATGTGACTGCCCTTTTCTTGATACTGACAGTGTAAATTTTTTCATGTAATTGCAGCTTTTCCAACTAAAAATGATTATGTTCACAGCATATGCTGGCTGTAACTGTGTTCAAGGAAGAGTCTGATAACTTAATTTTGTGGTTCTGATGAGACTTTTTTTTAATTGTCCAGTTTATGCGTTGCTGACATAATACTGGTGGTGGCCATTTCCAGAAGGACTTGACTAATTACTAGTTAAACTTAGGCTGGCTATACATCATACAATTTTTTATGAGAATTGTTTTAGATTACCAAACCTAAAAATGCTTTTTACCAATTAAGGCCCTTGCCCTACATAGTTGAAATAAATATGGAGGTCAAACCTCAAACAACACTTTCAATTGTATCCAATTAAGGCAGGCCCTTGCACTACATAGTTGGGGGTTGAAAGTAAATCTAAAGGAAATTGGACAGAAAATTGTATAGTGTATGGCCAGCCTTACTTTGGGTAAGGTGGGGGGATTACCATGAATTAGATCACATTGGTCTACTCAACCACACCCATTTAATACAAACCTTCTACCTCTAATATGCCTTTGGTTTTGTTGAAGGCAAAGTAGCAATTCTACAGTGAGCAGACTATTCATATATATTTTACTTAATGATTTAACTACAATCTAAAAAAAAATTGACTTGTTACTATGGGCTACACCAATCTGCCTGGAAGTCATTGCATTGTCCCCTTTTTGAAATGTAATTTTTTTTTTTTTTTTTCTCCCCCCTTTACCGCCTATAGATTCTTTACTGAGATTGCAGATCATACACCAGAGGGTGAGAGCACAAATTGCAGAGTTCAGAACAAGCCTTTCCCTTTTTAGGGGTTTAAAAGTGGCACTTTCCTCCTGTTTTTTATGTCCTCCACAATCTAGGTCAAGCATAGCTCAAAGTAAAACACTCATAGTACTGTTTTAAAGGCCAAACACATTTATTTAAAAATTAAATTCCACTCACACTCTGTTGTGCACATCAGAATACTTTTTATGCTATTAAAAATCACATAGTGTGCTTGTATCATAATCAATATTGCTTTTCCATGTGTCCTGATAACATTCAGGGCAGTTGTGTTTGACATCACACACAACCTGAATGTTAAGGCACAACATGTGACTTCTTCATGGGTACCTCTTCTCCTGCTGCACAAGATCTATGATTTATTGGGTGGCATCTTCAAAGTTCCAGGGAAAATGCACCGAATTTAGAACAAGCCCAACTTGGTTCCTGCAGCTGGGTTCTTGGGAGAGAAGGATGCCAAATAGATCTTGAGCCCTCCTGCTGATGTTCTTCCAGCCTTTGGGTGGTGGAACATGGTCCATGTTGTTTTGCCAGTAAACAAACTCCTGAAACAAAGAATCTTCAACCACTGCTCTTTTCCATGGATAGTTTCCAGTAAGTGTTGCATACAAAACCACCCCAAGCGCCCAGATGTCAATGCTAGGATCCACAACAATTGACTTGTACTTCAGTGCACAAAGTTCAGGGGGCATGCATGCATTGATCAATAATATTGATTTAATAACCGTACCGGTAAACAGAGTTATTCCAAAGTCGCAGAGTTTGATTCGATGACCTCTTTTATCCATCAGCAGTATATTGTCTGGTTTCAGGTCCATATGTACCAGTTTTTTACTGTGCATGTATTCAAGAGCCTGGGTGATCTGTAATGCACAGCGCTTGACCAGCTCTTCTGGAAGTCCCTCCTGAAAAGGTTAAAACAGTTATATGAAATGTTGGTGGAAAAACAATTCTACTATAAAGTGACATTGCAAAAACCACCAAATGTAATTTACCATGTTGTTGCATTTTAAATCTGCACATGAAATTAAATTTCAACAGCAGTGCAACCAATCTCAACTACTTCAGCACTAATTTGGGCAATCTAGGGAAGATGGGAGGTCTCACTGGTTTTAAATTTTACTTCCTTCTTAAAACTATGACTGCACTTGTGTCCAATAACGTAAAAGTATAGGCAAAATGTTAGTTTGATAGTGATAGAGGTTTAGAACTTGCGTTGTCTGCGATTTCCTCTGAAAATTGAGGTGTGGTGAAAGAGAGGGATTTAACCTATTTGTCCTGATGACTTTAGTTAGGATAAGGGGTAATCTAAAACTTTGCGGTTCTCACTAAAACAGGAGACAAGGGGATATCTTTCAATATTGACACCTGTCTGATAGGAATTCTCCCATCTGTTTAAGATTTCCTGTTTCGATCATGATGATGGGACATAAGCAAAATCTTTGCCACAGACTATAGCTGACAGGGATTTTAACCCTTCCTTACTCGATCTAAGACTGACTAATGGTAGAATCACTGATGCTCTGTACAACTAGGCCAGCAATAACTTTGTAGACATTTTTGCAATTTATAGACTGTTTCCATGACAAAACACTAAATGGCTTCTATTTTTTCCAGGACCCAAAAAATCCTTCCTTTTTTTAAAAAAATTGAAAGATTCAAATTAGCAAGCAAATGCTGGAGTGTCAGCTACTTCATTCGCTTTGATTTACTTACCCCTGGCTGCATGATTGAGAGAAGAGATCCAGCAGGTGCCAATTCCTGGCTGAACATATAGTGGTCCGAGCTTTCCAGAAAGCTGGAATAGGTGGAGATGATACCTTCGTGGCCAGTGAGATAGACGGACATAGACAGTTCATGGAGAAAGTCTTCTAATTTGGTTTTATCCTTTTTTACCAGTTTTAGGGCAACAATTCTATCTGTTTAAAGAGAAAAAAGTTGATTACACAAAGATTTCAACATCTAAGACCCTGGGTGATATCTAATACTTGAGCTAACTAATTTTTTTTAGACTGGATGCTTTTTCTTAATGTGGCAATTTTCCTTGACTTTGCTAACTGTGAGTGATGTAGTTTCCCATGCAACTAGATCTGTTGTCCCCTGTAAGTGCCAATGTGTTGTGCATAGGTGACCCTCACAGTAGATGGTCAAATCTGTTGCATACTAAGCTGCCTATAGTGTTAAGTGACCCACAGTATCTGTGTATTTGCTTAAAGCAACTCTTTCATGAGATAAAAATGGAGGCTGCTATTGGTGAGCTCCTCTTGAAAATTCCAATTTCCTGGCTGTTATGCTGACCATCCCAAGTCAATATATAAAATTGCTGACCTGGAACAAGTGTGCAGAGAAAGTAAAATTAATAATAATTGTGCTTTAGCATGACAGCCAGTAGCTAGCACTCTTGAAGATTGTGTTTTTCCTCATGGCAGGTTTACATTAAAACATGTAAAATGACAGATTTCAAGAAATTTATCAGACAAGTTGGGTTAGAAATCCTATTTTTCTGTAAAAACAATGTGAGTAGCCTGACTGGAATTTTACCCTGGTCTAATCCAGCACTGATTTAAAAAATGAAGAAATGGTTGATCTTTTGTGAATTATGGTTTTTCCCTGAATTCATTCAACAAAACCTATATGCCTAAGATAATTCAGTCTGTAAAGATGCTCATATTTTGGTGTACACTATATAGGTCAAACAATCTGCAAATCAGAAATAAGTATTTGTAATCACAGAAGAGAATCCACTTACCCATTTCCCTGTCTAGAGCCATCACAACTTTGCCAAAATCACCATCTCCAAGATGTTCCAGGATGTCATATTCCTCTTCACCAGTTCTTTCAAACTCACAAGTTAAGTAAGCTGCCATTGTGAATTTGGTGATCTCAAACTTTATCTGCAGATAAGAGCATAAAAAAATTCACGTAAACTTTTTGATAGGACTTTTTGTAAATCATTTCAAATGTTATGGTTTTTTTTACTTTCCTTCTGAAAACAAAAGAGAAATACCAGCAATACAGCAGAGATACATTTTTAGAAAAATGGTCTTACCTGGGCACTGACTGGATCGCTAGAGTAGAAGTTCCAAGTAGACTGAGTTTCTACAAAAGTTGATTGAAAAAAAGCTTTTGCAAGGTCCAACTTAAGATGTCTTGTTATCCAAAAGAAATCTTGACAAGTGTGGATATCCAGGTCCACAAACTGTCTTTTGTAGAGCAGTTCAGCCAGGAGCTGGAGGTCACTCTCCAACCAGACAACAGGATTTCACAAACCTTCATTAAAGTGCAAATTTAGGCATTGGTCAAGTTCCTGCAATCAAGGAGGCTCCTTTTTGTGATTGTGCCTACAGTGTAAACATGTTCAGGTCTATTGGGTATCAGGGAGTGGACATGTCTTTTTGTTACTGCTTTCAGATTGTTAATGTTGACAATTGAACTTCTGAGGACTTTTGACATGCTAAAATTTTAAAAACCACCTAGTGAGATTTCAGGTTTACTGATGCAATAGGTTGTTGGAGGTGGTGGTGTGGGTTTTTTTTTTTTCCTCCCAGAGAAGTATGTTTAAAGTAGTAATGAATCTTCATGTAAAGTCACAAATTCTGAAGCCAAAAAGGGGTTTCAAAAGTAACACACTATGCAAATTTAGGCATTGCAGGAACTTGACCAATCAAGGAGGCTCCTTTTGTGATTGTGCCTACAGTGTAAACATGTTCAGGTCTATTGGGTATCAGGGAGTGGACATGTCTTTGTCGCTAATTTCAGATTGTTAATATTGATAATTGAACTTCTGAGGACTTTTGACATGCTAAAGTTTAAAACCACCTAGTGAGATTTCAGGTTTACTGATAGAATAGGTTATGTGAGGTGGTGGTGTGTTGTGTTTTTTTTTTTTTTTTGTTTTTTTTTTCTCCCAGAGAAAAGCATGTTGAAAAATTAGTAATGGATCTTCATGTAAAGTCACAAATTCTGAAGCTAAAAAGGGGTTTCAAAAGTAACACACTTTAGATTTTAGCCATGACATTTTATTGTTATATTTGATTTGATTGGCATTGATTGGAATAGCTTTAATGTTTAGAGAGATAAACAAGAAAAATGTCTAACTCTATAAATCCTACCATTGTAATGAGAGTTAAAGTCCAGTCCTAATCTAACTAAGCCTAAACCTACTGTCATTCTAAGCCTATTTTTAACTACCCTGGGAAAGGATCTCTATACTTGCCTGTTCTGAGTTTCTACAAAAGTTGATTGAAAAAAGCTTTTGCAAGGTCCAACTTTAGATGTCTTGATATCCAAAAGAAATCTTGACAAGTGGATATCAAGGTCCACAAACTGTCTTTTTTGTAGAGCCGTTCAGCCGTTCAGCCAGGAGCTGGAGATCACTCTCCAACCAGACAACAGGATTTCACAAAACTTCATTAAAGTGCAAATTTAGGCATTGGTCAAGTTCCTGCAATCAAGGAGGCTCCTTTTTGTGATTGTGCCTACAGTGTAAACATGTTCAGGTCTATTGGGTATCAGGGAGTGGACCTGTCTTTGTCACTGCTTTCAGATTGTTATTGTTGACAATTGAACTTCTGAGGACTTTTGACATGCTAAAATTTTAAAAACCACCTAGTGAGATTTCAGGTTTACTGATGCAATAGGTTGTTGTGGGAGGTGATGGTGTGTGGTTTTTTTTTTTTTTTTTTTTTTTTTTTTTTTTTTTTTTTTTTCCTCCCAGAGAAGTATGTTAAAGTAGTAATGAATCTTCATGTAAAGTCACAAATTCTGAAGCCAAAAAGGGGTTTCAAAAGTAACACACTTTAGATTTTAGCCATGACATTTTATATTTATATTTGAGATTGGCAATGATTGGAATAGCTTTAATGTTAAGAGGGATAAACAAGAAAAATGTCTAACTCTATAAATCCTACCATTGCAATGGGAGTTAGTCAAGTCCTATTCTAACTAAGCCTAAACCTACTGTCATTCTAAGCCTATTTTAACTACCCTGGGAAAGGATCTCTATACTTGCCTGTTCTGAGGCCACTCCAGTTGGGTCACAAGATTGGTACCATCGCTGGCCTCTGTGTAGTGGAGAAGCAGCAGCATCTGCTGCAGAGCCTGGGCGATAACATCAGCCATAGCCTTACTATGGGGCACCAATGGTCAACTGTACTTTTTTCTCTACACTTCAAATGTGCACATTTTGATTTTTGTAAGGTGTTTTTTTTTTTTTTCTTTGTATTCAAATTTATACATCAGAATCGTAAAATCTATATTTTAACGTATTGGTCAATGATGTAAATCACGTATCCCTCATCTTTACAGCAGATGTGGTAGGACTGCAATGTATATATATATATATATATATATATATATATATATATATATATATATATAAAATATACCAGTTCTTCCTTTTAGTAGAACTAAAAAGTGTGGGTTTTTGTGTGGGTTTTTTTTTTTATGGCTTAGGGGAGGGTTATCACCTGCAGGGGGGGGGGGATAATAATATATATATATATATATATATATATATATATTTTTTTTTTTTTTTTTTTCAGTCAGTTTTTTTTTTTTTCAAATTTATACATTAAAAAAAAATATAGATTTTACAATTCTAAAGTATGTAATATATGTATGTGTATATATGTGTGTGTGTGTGTATAAATATAAAATATAATTTATTTTTTTTTATTCAGAGTTTTGGTGGCCTGGAATGGAATATACTACTTTTTTAGTATTGAAATCCAGATGCATTGAGCTACACTGGCCTCTGCCTTTCTGTTTTGGTGGGAGCATTATCTATGGCACAGATGTCAAACACAAGGCCCGTTGGCTGAATCCTGCCCTCCAGGCCATTTTAATATGGGCCTTGCATTTCCCCTGAAGGTACCCCCTTGTCTCAGCAGTCGGCAGCAGAGAGGAGAACAGAACTCCCCTGCCAAATCCTGCACCTCTGTGCAGCCACAGCACCTCTCGTCTCTGCCTCCCCTGGTCTCCGCATTCAGCAGAGTCTGGTAACTGACTCCACTCCTCTTCCTGGTCCTCTTCCCAGATCCTGCACTGTTTTCCAGCTTCAAAGGGAATGCACGGTGATGTTAGGGAGGCTGTGGGATTCTTGACATCTGATGTAATGGGGGGTTGGTCTGGACATCTAGTCTTACAGATACAACTGGCCCATAATGCTGATATGGCCTGCGATAAAATGGAGTTTTTTGACACCCCTGGTCTACGGCTTACTGTCACAGGTCTGCAGCTTTTCTGCAGATCTATTGCCTCTGTTCCCAAAGACCAGCATGCATGCTGGTACATTTAGTTCCATCGTTATAACTACAAAGATTCTTCTGTTGATTGTTATCCCACAAGATTGAGTTCAAGAGTATTGACACTAGGATGCAGCGCTAAATATACAGCTGGCTGGTGGATATACCCACCCTATATATTAGATAATAGTAAGTAACATATAAACCATACGATACAATTTTTCTATATATGGTGTTAGATTTAATCGGATCTGATTGGGTGATACACAAGTGATCAGTGCAGAGTAAGAGAATCTATATATCTATATAGGTGGTATAAAATTTCCTTCCTGTCTAGAGATAGATTATAGCAGAAATGAACGTGATTACAACCACAGTGAATTCCTATACAGGGATAAAAACTACCACATAGGTGATACGTGCTATGACCCGAATTAAAACAAACCACAATAAACACATCAAAGTCCATATGAAACTTTCAAACTGCTGCATGGTCACTCCAGCCATGCGTTTTCATGCGTGCTCGGCTTGGTGAGAAAGTGAAGTGAGAATCCTACACAGCAGGCATGCACGCTCACCTTCCCACTGCGACCCCGCTAGGGC